GAGAGAGAGAGAGAGAGAGAGAGAGAAAGAGAGAGAGAGAGACCCTTGGGAACAGGGTCCACTTCCACTAAAAATTCAAAAGTATGTATTGATAATGTTAACCAGCTGATTTATTATAGTAGTCTGAAGAAACATAGAACCAAATTGATACCACACCACTGACGCTGTCCCAAGCAGACTAAGTCTAGGAAGAATCCGAAACACAAGGCCTGCAATACACTTATTGAATAAAGCAAGCACACAACATTTCCCAATCGCAATTCTCAGTGCACTGTTTTAAGCCGGAAGCTGTCTCAAATGTTAATTTTAGAACACAGAGTCGGGCTGGGGTGAGAACGGAGAAAGAGGGAAAAAAAGGGGGGGGGGGCGGCGGTGGGGTCCAGACTTACAGCTAAGTGCCGTTTGCAAGTCAGCCCTCAACTCTCACCTCCGTTACAATTCCTGTTATATAAAAATACTGGCCAAACCACCAACTCGCCGGGTGTGCTTTTGGGGGCCAGGTATGGCTGTAGCAGGAAGTAGACGGTGAACAGAAGACCAAACAGAACCATGGGTGTCTCAAAATTCAATTAGCGATAGAGATTTGAGCCATTATGACAGCCCATGTACATGTTAACTGACAGTGACTAGAAATTGGTTTAATGATAGACATTACTGATGAAATTATAAGATGCACTGTTCAAGACAGTCTTGTCTTTTGTAAGAAACAGAAGAGCCAAATTGGCAAGAAAAATTATCTTTATGTGGGCTTCTCCACTCTGAGGACAATTGCTCAAATCGCCGAGCTGGGTGACGTCACCGTTGAGCGCCCCTAGACACACATCGTGACGGCAGCTGGTAATAACAACGTTGTAAGCCATCGAGATAAACTGAGATTTAGAAATGAGTTTCTATGGTGCGACAACACATCGGCGAGCCCTTATTGTCTCTTTGAGCGAACTTTTATAGGAAATAAGCTATGAATGTCGATAAATATTAATTTGGATTTACCTGAAACTGAATAAGAACTATTATCAGCAGCCAATCTCTTGTCCGCTATAGCTAACTAAAAGTGAACGGCTCCGCCGATCTTGCCCAGATAACGAACTTTGCCTGCACTTGATACATTTAATTCAACCTTAACAAACCCATGGAATGTTTTAAAGGTTGGTGTTTTTACGCCTCCATTGACATAATCTAATGGCTAGGCCCTTAGGCTTGCAACAGTAAAAGCCCATTTACTCGTGCAGTTCATTGATCAACACATCGTAGGATATGGGGAAAATGGCTGGGATCCTGTCAACTTCATGGTAAAACTGAGCGTGAAAACGAACAATCCTCTCGATATCGAAGGGTTCTCAGTCCAACCACCAGATATCTGGCATTTTCCGGCCGGCGAACTAAAAGGCATGACGACGAGGGAGCGGCTTTTTAAAATGTTGCCTCATTG